GTATCATAATCATAATATTTAGCTCTAAATGGAATCCACTGTTACATCTGAAAACAAAGTCAAGATCAAATATTCAAGCTGCAGCGGCTGGTGTTACTCTATTAGAAATATAATTCGCACATGCTCATGGTGCCAAAGTAATGTCCATGTCAAATGTTTTAAGGATAATTTAGGCTGTACGAGATGCTGTGAAAGTATCATTCCTGGATTTCATGCAACCTACTATGAAATCTAAGACGACTACAATAAAATTAATAATGACATATTTAATCAGTACGATTAGAATAGTCGATTTAATCTTATTGGCGACGCCATGACCAACGAAGAGCATCAAAATTCAACTTGGAGCAATATTTCATCTTTCCTAACTAGTTGTCAGTACAAACAAAAACGTAACGTGAAAAAATCTACCTGCTCTCAACTTAAAATATTTTCTATGAACATAAGATCCCTTATTAAGAATATAGATCAACTACGTGATGATATTGAGACTTATGATAAGTATGATATATTGTGTTTTAACCGAACGGAATAAACGACGTTACCTTAAATGGATTTCATGAACCATTTATACAGGATCCAATTCGCCCATCTGGAAAAGGTGGGGGGCTAGCTATTTATGTACACAAACGTGTAGTCGATTATGATAAAAATTAATATTTTCACTCCAAACCCTGAATCAACTAATACTAGTGGCGAATATTTCCAATTTATCAAGCTCCATCAGTGCAAAGCTTGTATCACGTGGTGACCCCCACTGTCGCTTCACTACTGTAGAGTTTCGACGATACAGGGGGAGCCGCGCACTCGTGCGCGGCGGGTCATACAACGTAGGACAAGTGAAACAAATTTTAGTGAAACAAATTTAAAATTTTATCCTTTATTTTACAATCATAATATAATAATATTTATAAGCCTCCGTTTTGAAAGTTTTAAATTTTAATATATTCACATTTCTATTTAAAATTCAATTTAATGTATAAGTCAATAACTGGCCGCCAAAGCCGCGCATTCTTAAAAACATGATTAAATTGTTTATGATTATACGACAAATAGAAATAAATTTAAAATTATCCGTGGTTTTTAAAAAAAATAAATTATAATCTTACCTAAATCCAAAGCCAGCTTTGTAAAAATTTACTTTTAGATCAAAATATATCGTCAATTCTAAATATTTACAATGCAACATTTCATTAATTTACATACAAGCGTACTCCAGCCCCTGCACGCATCCGTTCTTATGCGGCGCGGCTCAAGCCGCGCACGCACGTATTATTTTATACTTTTTGCTTTCTAATAAATATCGTGTCAATGTGTACGTCTAAATGTTCATGCTTTGTGTAAACCGAATCCAATTGAGATTAGTGACAAGGATAAGGACCCAAGTGCCTGTACGGCTTTTTCGGACCCCTGTGGACCACTACTCTTGAAGTCGCTCCACAACTATTGAACATTTATAACTGTTATATAATATATAACGACATTTGACAATTATTATCATTAATCTATAATCTAGCTGTCTTGCTGAGGGGGAGGAGTAAACGCTTCACAAACTAAAGTGCTTACAACATACAAAATTTAAAACCAATGCAAAGCATACAACAGAACGAAAATAATTGGCAATGTTTACCGTTCTCCCGCTAGCTTAGGAGACCTGAAGCGTTTCTAGAAATTTTCAAAAATACGAGACACAGTACACCCGTAAACATATGACGCTTCATGGAGATTTCAACCTTGATTTACTGAAGCACAGCAGCGAACAAGCATGTCAGAACATTTGGTTCATTTGGAGCAAGCATTTGTTTGTTGTTTAGTTGTGTTGGAAGGGAACATTACTTGATTAATTCATCCATTAGGATTTTAATAACGATGAGCTAAGATATACCGTTCATCTTAGACTATTGGATCAATCTTATTATATGATTAGATTTTATAAACGAACCTGGCATACAAAAGATTGTAATGCGGAGGTTGGCTGGCTCTTCTATAATAAATACGACACTCCAACTTACAGAATGCTTGCTAGAGATAAAACAAAATATTATCAGACTATACATGCAGCATGAGTAACTGGTGGATAAGCCTTCGGTAAAAACGGATCCGGAAAAGTCAATGCGGCACTCGGGTCCTTGGTATTGTCGTCGGTATATTGTCCATTATTTACGTTCTGCTTTCATAGTTCAAACAATAGTGAGCTCTAAATATACAGCTTTAAACCGATTAAGTATGAATGAATGAAATACCTGACAATCCGCACTCCTATAATTCAAAAGCATGAGTAACTCGTAGTGATGTACGATTTCTAGAAAGTTTAAATTAAATTTGGCGCTCACAGGTCCTCGTGATCATGTGATCGCCGCATAATGTTCCGTAAATGCGCACTGCGCAGGGCACCTTCAAGCTTAAATTATTCACCATACTGAGGCAGTCAACCAACGCGCGGCTTTATTTTTATGATATGATATGTTTTGATTGTTATTAATAAATACCAAAATTTAAATTTGTTTTACTAAATTTGTTTTACTATTGCGTCCTCTAACAGCAGTTAGCAGCAATTAGTAGAAGTTAGCAGCAGTTAGCTTACTGGGCCGCGCTCAGCCTGTCATTCCACCAAATCTATATATTATGTTAATGAACATAATAGCCTGGGGTCCTCAGGTAACAGTTAGCAGCAGTTTCTTTGCACTTTGGAGTTTGGTCCTCTGATCTTGTGGGGTGCAAGATAAAAATAAACTTGCTCGGATTTTCAAAATTTTTGTACGATTGTTTTCTGGAGACTGTAAGAATTTTCACAGTACCAAATTTGTCATAATTTTATATTATGGAATGATCATTGAGTTTCGCCTAGGTGCCATATTTGATGGTGCGCGGCTTTTGGAGCAAAATTAGCTGTAAAAGTCGCGTATTTTGATAAAATTCGTTAATTTTTGTCGTATTATTTTGTCATATCTTCGGTTCAATTCTTGAATATGAATCATTCTGAAAATTTGTCAGAACCTTCCAATTATGCTTAACTACGCACAGGAGGGGCTAAGTGCAAAGAAACTGCTGCTCAATGCTGCTCACTGCTGCTCACTGCTGCTCACTGATGCTCACTGCTGCTCACTGCTACTAACTGCTGCTCACTGCTGCTCACTGCTGCTCACTGTGAGCAGCAGTTTCTTTGCACTTAGCACCTCCTGTGTACGGAACACTAAATTAGTTGGGAGAGATTGGCCTTAACGGGTGATACTCGTAAAATATTTGTTCCGTATATTATATACAAGACCGTCGACGAGTCCATCTCGGCGCGCGTCCTGGTAGGTTATAAATTTACAAGATTGGCTTTGATTAGAGGCCTTGATCAGAGGTCTAAAAATGACAAAATAACTTTAAATTCGTTGATAACTCAAATTCTTACATCTTACCATCGAAATTACTCAAACTAATTTAGGTTCAGTAAAACATAAGTGTTTATATTACGTAAGCTGACCAAATTTTAATAAAATTGTTGTATGGGAAGTATTATAACTTTTTGATTGTTTCCGAAATAATGTGCTGGCCGAAATACGAGCTAAAAACCATTCAATGGTCAGCGCGCGCGTCTTATGATCGATGGCGCACGGCCTAATTAGAGGGTTAAGGTTTTGAATATTCGTTCAGGGCTAGGCTAGCTAAAGAACGAGTTGAAATTAAAAATAACGGTTAAGTGTAAATGGAGTGATTAATCATTCCGATTTTCTCACGGATATGCAAAAAGTGAAATTAGTCTTGAACAGAGAAAATGACATTTTATGTAATATTGAATATAATGTTCACTTCATTATTCGTTATTCATTCTTTGTTCTCGCTGATCTTACCATGATTGATGATTATGATTACTGATTGCATCACGTTGTGACCCCTATTGTAGTTTTGTAGGTTTATAACCTACCAGGACTGTCGTTTCACTAGTATATTGTGGCGAAAACCACGATACAGCGCTTATGATCGAAAGTCGTTGTGCAGTCAGCAGTCTAGTAGTGCTTAATTGACGATGTCAATTCATCTCAGCTCGGTGCGGCACAGTAGCGCATCTCGCCGATTTAGAGTAACGCATTGCGCTACAACAGTAGTGCGCGCGCCCACTGAAGGCGGCAAAGGAAAGAAGCGTGTCACTTCAACTTGGTACGCGAAGGCCCATTCACAGATGTGATGTCACTCATCTATATTTTTCGAAGTAGCCTCAGGAAACTTTACCGGTTAGGGTCTATCTCCGTAAATAAAATAAATATCTACTTTCGGTTTTCAACAGAATCTTCGTACTCTCGTGAAACTAAAGTTATTTCTTTATAAAAAAGGGAGCTAACTAACAAAATTTATTTCATTTTACAGGAGCAAAATTTGGGACAGCGTAGGTTTTGAGCTATATAGAGAGCTATTTCAAAAAATCTTATTTCAGCCCAAATAAAAGTTACAACTTTAATTTTGCGGATTTTGTCCTTTTATGTCTTATTGGCTGAATTGTGTCACGTGCAGCTTGGACAATGGAATGTCTCCAACCGGCTGTTAAAAAAGCACTCCTGTAGCGAGCCCGCCTTCACCTAACCATGTGCTTTGCGCCAGGCCACTTCGGGCGCGCTTGTTGGGTGGGTTGGTGGCTAGAGCCCTTTTTACCGCTGTGAGGCGGGCGCGCGCCATTGCAAGCGCAAGGGCTTTGGATAGAGCAAAGCCCGCCAGCCGGTAAGGTTTTCTTGGGGGCGCGCCGCTTTCCTCTTTCTGGCCCGCAAGGCAAGTGCTACGAAGTAGTGCGCGTTGGGCTAAAAGTGCGCGTTGGGTCAAAAAGGCCCATGCAGTTATGAGTTAGGTAAAATTTCACTCCACATAATTTTGCATTTTAAATTTCATTTCGTTTCTTCTGTCATGTGCCAAATATCAATAAAATGCTTGAAATCAAATATTAATGAACGTGACTGCAGTAGTTGTATTGTGTATTGTTGTTTGTTGTCCGTTCTTTTTTCAAAAATGTAAGAAAACTTCGATTTCAATTATAAGAATATAAATTAAAAGTTATCAACACAAATTTATACGTTTGTTCATTCCCCAACCGATTAACCGTCATTTGTGATCAAAAGCTCCATTATATTTACTGTACAAGTTATGTGCAATATGATTTCCTTCCTACAGCAAATGGGATCTCGGGTATCCGAATATTCAGCTACCCAAATATTTTGGTTAAGATGAGCAGATCAGTTAAGTTCCATACCACACACACAGCTTTCGTTCCGTTCTTCACTTTAAATTCAGCGGCACGAAATTGGTATCTCCATAACCGAAATGATAAGCGAGTTAACAAATAGAAATGGTCATGGCATCGAATGAGAGTTAGACCTAAAGTAACACGTTGAATTTTAGTTCTTCAGGCTGCTAAGCTGATCGTAGCTGTGTTTTCAGGATGCTGTCCTAGAGATGCCAGGGTTTTTCCATTTTGCCACCGCTCTGTTCACGATGTCTGTTTTCATAAGGTACCAACTTTGAACATCCTGAAAAGAAAGACGTTAGTATTCAGTGGAATAGTGGACATAAAACCTACCATTGATAATTCTGTTTAATTTTCTAGACAATGTTGATGATTTTAAGCACGATACCCTCTTTGTGAAGGACGAAGATACAACTCAAGATTCAATTCTAGACTGTTATACTTTTGCAGACTGATCTGCAATTAAAGCTCTATTTAGACGATTAGACAAGTAATATCTATTAATAAGCATAAGACTTCCTGGGACCATATACTTATGATCGATGAGGATAATTGTGGGTGCAGCCCAAGCTTCAATTCTAGACCGTAACATTTTGATAGCCTAGCCGACTGATTCGCAATCTAAGCATTATCTAGACGAACAGACAAATAAAATCTATCAAAAGAAAGGAGTACAATTCAGTGCGCGGAACAGATTTACGCCGAACAATTTTGTCGGCACAATAAATCTGGCATTACATAATACTTATCTAATATCTATAGTGCACTTGATAATCACTATCACGATGATATAGATTAGATCCAGCCTTCAAACTGAAGTTCTAACCCGATCTTTAGTCACCTTTAGTCTAACATAATCATGGTAGGATAATATCAAAGTACCCCTAATTATCACAGTCATAAAAGTTTAACATCGTTGTAGTAACGAGAATACTTTAAGAATTATCTCAAAAATTAAGTTTAATCCAGATGATTGCAGTGAGAACTGAAGGAGTAAAATTCTAACTCTTCCACTTATTCGGATAATCGTTTAGTAAAATGATTTAATTATAATACAACTGATCTTGTAGTTGTAAAACGCAAGATGATAAACGAAAAGTGTTGAGATTGTTTAGGAGGGGGTCGAAAAAGTACAGTCTAACCATTTCAAAATGTGACAACTTGCCTGAGGATGGTCCTTTCTGTCGTCTGTCTTCACTGCACAGCTAGTTGCATCAGTAGATAACACTACTCGCCAGCCCTTCATATTCACCTGCAACACGTTGATTAATATTTCCATTATTTGGACATAAATTGGACAAAACTTACGGTTTTGTCAGTTGAATTGGTATCCGAGACCTTTTTTAAGTCACAGCAATCCTCTCTCTGTGGTCTCAGGAGCCAGTAAATACCCGGTAAAGGCTTTAAGTCTTATCTTTACCTTTTGGAGAAGATGACAGAGCATACTTCGGGCCTCTATTCCATCGTTAGCATTGTTCCCACTCCATGGCTGACCTCTAATCTTGAAATCAAAAGCACGTCTGAATGTGGACTCCTTAATGATACCTCGCTGACCATATCGCTCCTAAAACGGGTTTAGTGAGGTTAGTCAAGTTAAGAATCTAGGTGACGTATCCGTAAAATTCTGGCAATATTCATTACATGAATAGACTATTTGTATTCATCCCTGTATTTCTCCAATGCACAAATTAATCGAGCAGAAAATTGAGAATGAAAGAAACGGTCGGAATTTAATTTTAAAATTTCAACTTTGAACTCACCATAATGACCGATCTGACACAATTGTTGAAATCTTCGGGGGCGTTCATGATTCGTATTCTGTCGTTTTCGTCGAAACTTATACAAATAACTTGCAAATGTGTAGGTATACCTTTCCTGTAAAGAGTTTGTAATTCGAAAAAAAGCTTTGCACAATTAATCGTCACTTGTACATAGTTACTTGTTCTTGAATTCAATCATTTTAAAACTAATTACAACACTACAAATCTTTTACATTTATTGAGCTATGTAAGTTATTATAACGTCCTGTCTATGACAAAGGCGTGTTGCCGAAACGTCGACAACTAATTGTTTTGAAACACTGAGTGGAGACTCTCACTTCGTCACCGCAACTACCAAACTACATTACACAGTATACTTAAAACTTTGAAAAGATCAAAATAACTCACCTAAATATCATTAGACTTTTATTGATGAGTCTTGAAGAGGGATTAATGGCTGTTTGTACCCTAAACCCTTTTTCTAGAAGGTTCTCCAAAATCTTAATCATCAGGAATCGCGTTTGGATCGCCTCAGTACTCTCACACCAAAACGGATTCCCTTTTATCTCAAACTCGTGACTTCCGTTCTTTATCGACTAAGAAAGGTGTGGTTGTAAGTACTCATGATTAAAAACAATGGTACTACTATCGGGTACGAATCGACAGCCATTGTAAACCTGTATTGTCAAAGCAAGTAAGAACATCGGATATCAATATGACTACTATCAGAGGATTTTCTGGAAATTTCCAGTCGCTATGGATCCACCACAACAACAGCCTAGCTCACATTCAGTGCTCACACACGTACAAGTTCTGCAATATTAAACATCAGTACCATTCATGTCGAGTAACAAGCAGTAGCACTAGCAGTTACATTTAAAAACACATTTTACAAGCGTACTTAAGTAGTATGAACAGCTGCTTCCTACCTCGGAAATGATTTCCCCCTCCCAATCTGTGATTATCTTTCTCAAGTCGTCGATTATTGAGGGTATGGAGGAATGCAGGACTCGTAACTTATCCTTCCCGTTTATACTTAAACTACAGGAAATGTTCACGTCAAAATTTGACCGTAAGACAGCACGAAATATGGAAAACTAGAATAGGATAATTGGAATTTCACAGCGGAAAAACTATTATAAAAGTTAAACGTACTAGGTTAGTTTACTACTCCCTTATCAAAGTAAACTAGTTCCAACCTGAAAAAGCTCCTAACGAGGTCGTTTATAGCAGGAGCAGTTCGAGTCTTCATGAAAAAGAGGGTGTCTCTGGCGTTTTTAACTCTGGCAGTGGTGATAAGTTCCCATCCGACCATTCCCAGGTAATTAACCATCTTGTGAAGAAGAGATCTGGCGGCTGCTGACATGCTCTTGATGTCCAGCCAAGGTTTACCACCAAGCGCTACCACTATCCCAGACTTACAATATGTTTCCTGCAGGGTGGATATTTCAATCAGCTCATAATCTCTGTCAAAGATCGTTGAGGCTGGAAATTTATGTTTCTGTTACCATTCAAATGGGAGATTAATCTGATATAAACTTTAAACAGTCAATTAATTAACACCAGCAAAATAAATACAAATCTCTCAGAACCGCACGGTTACCTTTTTAACTCCCTTGCCCCAGTTTTCGTTGAGTATTTTAATCAGTTCGTGTTTCGTTGATTTGGGGATATTGGTCAGGTACATTAGGTTCTCACCGCTGAGTGTCACAGTGAAGATGTGAACGTTAGCGGCGTCCTTGATGGGTATAGCTGGTCTTTTTAGAAAGAAAGTACTGAGGTCCCTTACCCGGGATAGATCTGATGATATGATAATTTCCCATCCTCCCGCGTATAGTTCCTGTAGAAGATTTTGTTAAAATTTGGTTTTCTAGAAAATATCTATATAGTGCTACAAGAATACTTATACGTTTACATAGTCAGTAAGAAACTTAAGATACTGAAATTGACATAATATTCAATTTGGAAAAGTGAGTACCTGTATCATAAGACATATTAATCGGTGAACTCTAAGAGCATATTCGCTGTTAAATGAATTCCAGAAGGGCGTCCCTTTTAACTTCAACTCCCAGTATCCTCCTTCATCCAGCTGAAGAAAGAAGCACGAGTAAAATCAACTCCTGTCAACCCTACCTAACCATTCTTAAAGGTAATTCTTATTGTGAGGATCAAACTGATATGAAGTTTGAATAATTATAATTATCGGAGAATTAATGAACAGATGAATTTGCCAACTGTATTACTTATAATCTGCTATAACACATTAATAAAAAGTAGAAACTTGAAGCGTACAATTTTCACATTAAAAACTCACTTCATGAGTTATTCCAGGCGGCCAGTTGCATTTTATCACCTGTCAGAACATTAAAGGGAATTAAAGTGTGAGAACTTTATGGTGTGAGACAACAGGTCCTTAGTCACGGCTGTACTAAGACAGAACGGGTATTTAGAAGAAGGAAGCTGTAAAAATTCGCTTAAATGTAGATTTAAACTCGCTGCTTTCGGCCACACTATATTTTCATGTACACACCAATTGTGCCTGACGCATATCAAATGATGGGTTTGACAACACTTTATGCGGTGTCGAAAGAAAGGTTAGGACAACACTGTACCTTGCGGATGATGTTTTTGACGTCCTTGTTTGCGTGAATTACACGGATAGTGTTCGTCTCTCGGATGGTGAGACAGTAGTAGTTCAAGTACGCCTCACCTTTCTCTAGCTGAAAAGTCGAGTTGTCCGCTCCCATCGCCAACCATGCCTGAAAACATCACTATGGTAATGGGCCAGATAACAAATATTACCATGGTAATGGGCCAGATAACAAATATTACCATGGTTACGAGACAAGGGTTCAATATCAAGACATATTCCACTAAAGTAGCTTGTCACATTATAGATATGATATTTGACCAAAACCCATAATCATGGGTAGAGTGTACCGCTGCCAGTGTCTCTCTTTTCCAAACAAAAGGAAATGATATTAATTTGAATAACCGTCCGAAAATGCAAATTGATACCGAGAATGAAATCGGTCGCTCGCTTTTTCCATTCGATCACGGCTTACGAATTATAATATAAAGCTTATTGATTGGAAAAAGCGAGCGACCGATTTCATTCTCGGTATCAATTTGCATTTTCGGACGGTTATTCAAATTAATATCATTTCCTTTTGTTTGGAAAAGAGAGACACTGGCAGCGGTACACTCTACCCATGATTATGGGTTTTGGTCAAATATCATCTCTTTTTGATTATAATGTCAGGATAATTTACAAAGCCGAAATGTAAACTCATAACTTCATTAATATTTATATTAATAATTAGGAGGTAATTTCATCGATTTCGAAATTTTACCTGACTGAATATGGCACTTTTTACTCATTCAAGTTGGCATTAAATTCATATATAATGCCATTTAAATATCGTGGGAAAGCAGAATTTATTCGAAATCACGAATGAGCAAAATTCTCACCTTTCGCACGTGCAAACTTTGAGCGGACGTTGCGTGCGGATACAATATTGAATCACCGTAAATTTTTGCATAGCAGTATTTTATATATAGTTTAATAAGCATGCAAAGTTTCAGAAGATTTCATATAGAACTTGGATCACAACGGGACTCCAAAGTTGATAAAAATGGTGAAAACAGCAATTTTCAGTAATTTTAGCAATTTTCTATCAAATTGGGCGTGTCCCCACGTGTGCAACTTTTTGAATTTCAACTTTAAAACTAGCCTATAACACAATTTAGACCTTTAGGAAGCAAAATTGAGCTCCACAACCCAAGGGATGGCCCAACACCAGAGAATACTAATTCACAACTTTTGTGTTTTTATAAAATTATTCTTCAAAAAAGCACTTACTTCAATAGCGAATATCTTTATGAAGGAGCAAAGTAAGAAACTTTTCCGGTAGATTTTCAGAATGCTTGAACAATTATCTAAGATGAAAATGTCCTCAGATTTTGAATAAAATTACTCCTTAATGGTTTAAAATCGATTTGAAAAGTTGTTACTTTGTCAAAAATCAAGTTTTAAAAACACTTAATTTGATGACGTCATCAAGTGATGATGATGAAGATAAATTATTTTTTGATATAATGTAAACTAAAGTATAAACAATTATCTTCAAAACCTGTGGTTCGAAATGACTGTATCTTTTATACTTTTGAATCTACGGACACTTAAATGTAGGCTACAATTGACTGCAAATTGACTGCAAAAGCGTCTATACTATACTTCACGACAATCTGTTGTAAAACAGGGGTTCCAGAAAACCCACTTCCCGATACTCCTGAAACATGAAATTTTTTTTACAGTCGATTTGGACAAGGTCTAGACGCCCTGCAAAGTTTCAGATCTCTTACTCAATTTTAACATGGTTTTTAAGGCACCTGAATATGGCGATTTTGGGTTTTTTACCTAATTTCGTATAACATGCTGGCGCGTATTTTGCGCAAATTTCTTAAAAACCTCCACATAACTATTTCTTATTCCTGTCATCTTTAACATTGAATTAGAATGTTTTGAACTTAAATATAGGTACCTGCTGAACTACTTTCGATGAGTCTTAATGCCTGGAAAACAATAAAGGGGATATACTAGTATAGGGGGTAAATAGTATTGTGAATATAAGGGCGACGGTAATGCTTGCCAGCATTGTGATCAAACTGATTACTTATAACCGGTAACGTCATGATTTAACCATAGTTAAAAATCGTGTAATTGATATCAACATGGTAACTGATCAAAAAGGATTCCAGTATCACTGCATGAATATGATAACGCGTTATCATATTCATCACGTAATCTTTAAAAATCCTGCAGACAGGTCATTTTCCAGAAGTTAGCTCGAATAAACGTGGTAAGAAATGGTTTGTAAAGTTTAAAATAAGCCCGCACCGTAGATGCTGCAGAGTAAATGCGTTGCCAAGGCTTGTTGCTATCACATGATGCTGTCATGAGGAGGGTGTGAGGAGAGAGGGCAGTGCGGAACGAGGTTAAACACAACTATAAACGGAGGTTAACGTGCAGCTAACGGAAAGGTTATACACGGATTATATTAAAAAACAAGAGGATATTGATTTGTTTCATGTTGGTGCACTTTGTTGGGAGCTCAATTGTGTCCCAATTATGAGCATTGTTTGGTGTATGGCGTGGAGTTATGAGCATTTCTCGTGAGGTATGTGAGCAGTGAGCACATCACACGTCCTCCATTCCACCACAACCACATATGTAATTAGGATAATATTTAGCTGGAATTGCGTGTCGCCATGTCTACTTAAAATTGAAAGTAGAGACATTTCCGAAAGAAAGAAAACAGCTGGAACGAGAAGACGACGGAGAGTACTGGCAAAGTGGAACATCAGTCTAAATCGTATAGTATTTGTTTGGAAGCAAGTATCTACAGGTGGCAGTGTCTTATTAAGCTATAAAATATTAAGCTATTAAAACCACAACAGATCAAATAGAGTACAAGTTGTGTGACCTGAGAGCGCTTTTTATTTTGAATATCACAGATTTCACGACGACTTCAGCTTGGTTTAACAAAAAGTCATTTACTGATCGGGCCACCTGAGCTTTTCTCGCGGACAAAAACATAAAAACAAATTCAACGACTTCCGATGCTAACGAGTAAATAGGTGGTAGGTGGTTAATCGCCACGATATCATTGGCTGGTTAGGGGCTTATAACGCTAAAGGCTGGGCAGGTAACCAAAAGTCACCATCACAGGCCACCGCTGCGTTACCAGATATATCGGCACACGGCGAACATGCAAAAGTTGACTAACGGCTGATAATTTGCTGGAGTAGCAGCAGTGACCACTCTGACCAGACATCGTTTGTTTGTTTGTTTGGGGACTGGTTTGTAAGCCAGCCAATGTTTACGAATATAATATTAATAACTTTATTACATAATCATAAATATATATCATAAATAGATCAAATCTGAAACACAAATTTGCACGCAGTTAATAAATTTATTAAAAAAAGAAAATGAGAATGAAAAAAAAGGTTTAGTGATTTAAAACAAAATATGGAGCACTCTGTGCTTCCAACAGCCTTTCAGACTCGCGCTAAGTTTGTTAGGGACTGATTTAGGATATCGTAGATATTGCTATGCCATGTCATTAGTTTGGATATGTAGTGTGTGTGATTGTTGAAATTAATTAATTACGGTTTGTGCTGATAGGAAAATAGTGATAGTGGGGAATGTGGCAGTGTAAATATGGACCTGGAATTTAGGATGTGTGGCTTATCCATTAATATTAGTTGCCGCTAGTCTGTGATCAGTTTGTTCTGGTTTTTTTGTGTGCAGATATATATTCATAGTTTATTTTTGTAATATCATATAATATATAGTACTTAATAATAACCATATGACTAATAACTGATTTACTAATTAACTAATTAACTAATTCACTAAACTGATATAATGACCGTTGTGTCCAGTAACTTTCAGACACGTTGTGACCTTCTTAGACCTGGAATATTATGTAATAAGAAACTGGGCCACGTGTCATCGTCATTTTCACTCTGCAGGTTCAAGAGCATGCGTTTTGTAGCCGATTTAAAAAGGTTTATGGAAAAAAGTGTGGGTAGGGTGCTTACATTTGCATTTACAGCATAAATTGAGAGTAAAGGTCCTTTGAAGAACATCGAAGATCTGAAATGTGTGGTGTTGTACTCGGCTAACCAGGATGCTGCAGTCACGTGATCTGAGTTTGCAGTGGGTGCATTTTCTGGGATAGTCATACAGATTTGTTGAGGGACTGAGCTGCGGAAATGTTTGATTCGGTGCATGAGAATTAGTGTGTTTTTTACAATAACACTGTGCACCGTGAGTATACCATTGTTATTGAAAAATTGTTTTGTGTGTTCTGGCAGTCGACCGTCTTTGTAAAAGTAATTAATGTGACCTGGCATTACTGCCCTGATACCCTGTTTTTGTCGTGAGAAGAGTGATTCAATGTGATTTTTTGCTGCAAACCCCCATACAATTGAACAGAAGTTTAAATGCGATTGAACAAAACTTTGATATATCTGTAGCCTTATTTGAATCGATAGGTGACGTTTTATTTTATACATAATTCCTACATACCGCATCATTTTTGATCTAACAGCTGCTATATGCTTAGACCATGTTAGTTTATCATCCATTATAACGCCAAGGAACCGTGCTTCCCTTTTACGTTCTAATTGTGTGTCTGCAATATGAATATTTGGAGTATTATCAGTATTTCTAACACCGAAAAGCATATAGCAGGTCTTTTTTAGATTAAGTGCAAGTCCATTACAGTCAACCCAGCGTACAAACTCGTGGGAGAATTGGTTGAATTTTTGTATAACATCGTTTGCATTTTTTCCTTTTATTATGATGTTTGCATCATCAGCGTAGAGTATAAACTTTATCATACTGTTGATATTTGGCATATCATTGATGTAGATTAGGAATAACAAAGGTCCCATAATACTGCCCTGTGGAACTCCGTATGTAATAGGTTTAAGAGCTGATTTAATACCATTCAAACATACATATTGCTGACGTGTGCTCAGGTAGGATTTAAACCATTGCAAAGCTTGCCCACGGATTCCATAGTGCTGGAGTTTGTCAATCAATACATCATGAGACAAAACGTCAAAAGCTTTACTAAAGTCGACTAGGAGTAATAGAGCAACTTCCTTTTTGGCAAGGGAATTCAGAATCGTGTGTTGAGCATCCAAAAGAGCATGCTCACAGGATCGGCCTGGCCGGAAGCCA